CTGGTGAACCATGCCACGGATCCAAGTGCGTTGAAATTGAAAAGAAGTGGCCATCATGTTGGTTACCTGCAGTTGTTTTAGCTCCTTATGTTGCTGGTTGGAATCTGGATTGAAGTGCATCTGTAACCGCTTTAGGAATGTTTCAGAAAGAGTGGTTCTTGGGTGTATTGGCTTTACAGAGCGATATAGGGAAATTAAAACTGCACAAATGAGTTGCATAACTAAAACGCATTATAAATCACAAAGCTCAGTTCCGTTTGTTTCAAATGGTAAAGGTTAAATGACCCAAATACAAACGAATTAAAATAAAAAGCAATTTAATTTTATTTATAGTCTTTTGTTTAAGATAGAGAGAATTAAAATCTACACAATTGTAAAGCATTGTGTAATACTTAAACTATTATACCAAACTTGTACACTAATACTCTTATCTGGAATTGACATGCAAGTAAAACTAATCGTCTTAACATGTTATAAGATGATTAAATTATAAGCTTAGAATTGATCTGGGCTATTATTATTTATTTGTTGAAATGTAAGGAAGTTTATTTTACAGCATACAACTAGCTGCATTCCGATGTCTTGCCTCCAAAATAAGAGTTTTTCTTAGCTTTTTCAATGCCAACACTCCAACAGCTGGGCAATATATATTCGCATGGACCATTCGTATCTAATGGCACTGGCGAAATTGACAGCACAAAAAGCTATGCAGGGCTATGCCGACAACGGGGGCCATAATTCATAAACTACAGCACATACCAAATACCAAGGGTCTACTATACGCGACTGACTGTGCCGCCGCCACACGAAAAACTCCAATTTTAATTGCTCGACATTAAACGATCGACGACGACAACAGCAGCGGAGTCGAATCGGAACTTTGGCTTTCGATATGGCCCATAGTCGAGCTGTACAGACCGCAGTAGAGCCATAAAATATGCACGTTTCGTTTGTTTGCCGTTGGTTTGCATATGTCCCCATCCTCAGTCTCCAATCCTCCAAACCCCATCCGCATCCCTAAAGCCCCCGTTCCAGAGACCCCAGCAATATGGTCCGCGGATCGAAACTGAGACTGAGACCAAAACCGCGCCGGAGCAGACAGCATTTAGCGTACGATTTGGCGGCGCGAAAAAGATAAACTCATAAATTATGGCATTGAATGTCACTTCAGCCACCGCCGATTCGCCAAACGCCGACAATAGCAACAACGACAAACTCAAGCCCGATTTTGCAGGCAGGACGAGGTTTGGGGCACCGGCGATAATGAAGCCCATTTTAAAGTCACTACCATTCAATGCGATTTGATTTACAATCCCATTTCGATTATAATCGATGATGATGTGTGTGCGCGCTTCGGCCGAGCCATGAACTTGCATATAAATACCAATCTGTGTCTTTGCCAGCCGCAGACTGAAGGATGGGGAGTCGGGAAGCCGGGATGTCGGGAAGTCGGTATTTCGACCAGGGAGCCGGGGAATGCTAAGCAGAGCAGGTCGGGGGTCGGCGGTCTCTAGCGGTTTTCCAAGGAAATCGAAAAGCTGCCGCAGATCCGAGCAGGAGTTCAATCTTGTCTGCCCGCAGGCCCAGGCAACAGGCGCTGCACAGTGGGTTTTATGGCTTAAAGAGGTCCATCCCCATTGAAGATTGAAGTAAAAAAAGAACGATATATTTAAAAACTTTTCACTCATATTAATGCATTTGTGATTACTCTTAAATTGGACAATAATAATACAATTTATTGAGTTCTTATATTAGGAGTGTCTAATAATTACTTAAGAAGAGAGCCGCCCAGACTTCACAGTCCCCAAAAAGTTGGGACTCTCAGCAATTTTATAGTACAAGTACATTGTTCTTAAAGTGAGAACATTCGTTCTTAAAATCCGTGTAAGTACATTTTAAGTTAAACGTTCTCAATATCAGAACAAAAGGGTAGGAAAAGAAATTAAATTGAGTTTACTTTACAACTTTTTGATAAGTACAGACTACTGACTGGACTAATAGTTTAGTTGTTAATATAAACAATGTAATATTTTCAACTTTAAAAAAGTCGTTCTATTTTTAAGAACATTTTCAACTCAGATGAGAACGTCAGAAATCTCTTTGTGTACTCTTTCTTTAAAAATGAAGAAATTGAAAATCTATATTTCATGAAGACAATACGCTAACTGGACTATTTTATATAGTTTAATTAAATACTAATTTATTTTATCTAAAATTACAAAAGTATTATTTTTAAACCATATCAATGATATTTTAATCGTGTATATTTATTAGGTTTGCGTTTCAGAGAGCTTATTCGCCTAACATTAAGCTCAAAACAAAATCCTTCAATTTAAAAGAAAATCTAAATATAAAATGTAAATTTTTTCTTTAGGTTATAAACATATTCAACATTTCCCATTTATCAAGAATCATCACCACTGTGCAGTGACGTCTGGCAGTCTTGTCCGTCCGCCTTACCTGTTGGCGCAATTGAACTTGAATACGCTTCGGCAGCGGCGTTTTAGTTTAGTTAGCCCGCCAACTTGTCAGACAAACGAATGCGGAGCTAACGAACCCACAACCACCCGACGACACCCCCATCCCATCCGTATCCCCAACCTCCTCTATACCATCTGCAGACCAGGCCGATCCGATGATCATTGTCGCATTCGCATCCGCCACGATGGTGGCAATTGTTTTGATGGCCGCTGATAACTGCAGCGGCGGGGGGCATGAAGATTCGATTCCACTCGATTCCACTGGGGACAGAGACCCCGAAAAACAAAAACCCGACAAAACGAAGTTCAATACAATGGGACCTCATATATATTTTGTCACCAGTCTGGAAACAGTTCTTTATGGCCTTTTAATTGAAGCTGAGACCATTAACATTGGCCAGGCTGTTCCAGCCCACGCGATGGGGCTTAAATTTATTACAACTTAATTGTTAGCGTTAACGTTGTTGTGTGCTGTTGTATCTGCTGTTCAGCTTACGAATATGTCTTAATTTTTGGCGTAACGCCCACTCAATAAAGGCATCCAATGAATGCTGGGCGGTTCCCCAAACCGAACGTGACTGAATTTGTGTATAGAACTATATTGCTGGAGGTGGTCTAGGTAATTAGTAGTCGAGTAGAAGATTCAAATAAAATGTGTGTAAATTTATAAAGTATATTATCTTCAAAATAACATATGTTTTTTATATTACACAAGTTAAATCTCTAAAGGACCTGATGATATTGCTGAAGAGGATTTAACTTGTTTTAGAAACTCTAGGACGCCCTGTTTATGATCGATTTAAGATGGAGATTACTGTATATCTAAGCTGTATATCAGCTTAAAAAAGTTTATTTCTTTCAATTATTTTATATTTTGTATATGCTTCTAATCTTAAAAACTTACTATATTATATCATGCAAAATAAACCTCTAATCTATTATTCCATTTGTCGCATTTCAACGCCCACGAATTTTCCTTTTGGAGAAAGCGCTTGTCGCACATGTCTGACTCCCCCTAGAAGGTAAAGTAAGATTTGGAGAGGATTTCTTCCCAGGCAATTAGTTCAAATGCAGTGTGCGACTGTGATATAGTCGCCCACTTAGTAGGCCCGCTAGCGAAATGGCCTAAAATATGGCTGCCAACTAACGTCCATAATTTCATGAGCAATTTTGGGAGCCAGCAGGAGGAAAGAGCAGGGGCTGAATGGAGGATCGGAGGATCGGAGGAAGGAAAACAGCTCGCATGGCCACGGACGATGTTGCTGGCAAAGTGCAGTGATAAATCAGATTGTCATTTTTGTATATTTGCGCCAACTGACGACCCCATCTCCCTTGAAACTGAGTTGCATGCATGCGAAAGCAGGCTTTTGATGCGTTCATGTACAGCAGGAGGCATACAAATATAATGTAATAAAACTTAAAAAAAAATTCTGACTTACCTATTAAAAAACTCCCTTCAAGTATAAAAAAAAATAATTCCAAATTGCATTTAAATTAGAAGTTTTCTACGATTCCTCACAGTACCCTAAGTCTTAAACTTTCGGCTACAGTGTACAATTAATAAATAAACAAAAAATAAATTAAATAATTTTTAAAAAAAGTTAACAAAATTAACTAAAATCCTATTGAATATTCCATTTAAAAGTAAAAGTAAAAAGTAGTGCTATTATTTCGAAAACCACTGTATTGCATGCCAGCGACTGTCTTAAAGTGCATTCGCCAAAGGGAAGGGAGAAAAAAGCGGGAGAACAGGAATGCATTTCACTTTGCCAATGGGCCACGAGTCATAATTATTATTATTTTGATTATTGCACCTGAAAGATGACATTATTAACATCGCTAATGTGGCGAAACGGGGACGCTATATATGTATGTACAATGAGAATACTTGAATTAGCGATTCACTGGCAGAAATTAAACTCGAAACTGAATATTTCCTTCTTGCGGTTAAAATAATTTGTAAAATTTGATACAATAAGTGGCCAATTACTGAAATGGTTTTCTAGTGCCCTCATCCTGGATAGAATTTCTGTGCAACAAAGTCAAACAATGGAAAAACAGATAATTAAATGCATTAATTGACACAAGAACAATGCTATCTAAAACATACACTTTTCAACGTTAGTTAAATATTTAAGTAAATGCTTGTTGTTCTGCACTTTTGTGTAGTTAATTGCAACTGTTTACAGAACTTCTATTTAGATAATGTCGTAAAAAGCGCATCCGGAATCACTTTAAGTAAGTGTTGACCAACACTACATATGCTGTATACTTAAGAGGTTTTACACCAAGTACTTTATATCCATTTTATTTTATATTTGATTTAATAACAAAAATTGAATTTTGACGGAGGTATCCAACAACTTAAGATTGAAGTTCAGATAAAAAATGTCGAAAGTTAGGTAAGGAAGCTTTCTTTTGAATCAGGACTGAAATTTGTTCTTGTTCTAATTCTAGACTATTAGATAAATTCTAGAAAATAATATTTTTTTATTTTATTAATATAAAAACAAATGTGTATGTTGTGTATAAGTAAATGCTTCTCCATCTAACTACTGTTCTACCACAACCTCTTCACGGTGAGATTCCGGTGTCTGCCCAACGTGGATCTTCTCCTCCTCGTCCAGCTGCCTTGAGGAATCGATGTGTCCCAGATACTCCGATGGCTGCGAGCAGTCCATTGAAGTGGCCTCCTTCCAGCAGGGACTCTTCAGCTGATCCATAAACTTCAGATGCCGATCCGCACAATAGGGCTCCACGATGATATAGTGGGGATCATCCGTCTTTGGTCGGTCGTACATGCGAAGTCGCGATGAAATGGCCTGTTCCTGGACACGTTTTATATACTCGGGCCGACTCTTGGCCAACATGTTCAAGGCCTCCATGTTGTTGACCTCATCCAGGACGACGAGATCACCCGCGGAGGATTGTCCGGTACATATACTGCCCTCGGGATCGGCAAAGATGGCCTGGATGTACCGCAGCAAGTGCCAGATGTGGTGTTGATCCTTGCGCCACTCCTTAAAAACAGGTGACAGATCAAGGGTTTTGTTCTGCGGGCAGATGTGCGGATGAAGAATGACTGTCGAGAAGACTACGGTGGGCAGGATGACATCATCCGGGAAATTTTCCGGCAGCAGAATGGAGAAGCGGAAGACGCTGCCCGCATAGATTCCACTGTGCACAAAGATCACACCAAACCAGTGCAGTCCACAGGCATAACTAGGGATGGCGTAGATGTTCTTCAGCTCCTTCTTCACCAGGTTGTACTCGGCCAGGATCTGGTAGCCCTGACGTATGAGGGCCATCCTCGGGTTGGTTCCCGTGGAATACCACATGGTGATCGCACGGCTTGGCTATGGCACGGGATGGTGGCTCAAGCTCCACCAAAGATATAAGCCGTGGGAACTCAAAATTTGGAAGAGCTTGTGGAATCTTGCGGATCGAGCGGTTGTGTAAGTGATAAAAGGCCTAAAAATGAAATGAAATACGAAAAACTACATTTTCTGACAATAAAATCTTAAATTATAGACATGGTCACCATTTTCTATCTATAATTTTTGAAGTATCTATTTAAATGTTCTTAAAAAATTGTTATTACCTAAGAACATTTATTGCATACAATAAATACAATACAATTGCATAACAAAATAGGTTCAATATAAAAAAAATTAAAAATATTTGAATTGCACAGAGAGACATATTCAAGAACATTGTTCTTAAACTGAGAACATTCGTTCTTAATAACCGTTTATGTACATTTTGGAATCAATGCTCTCAATATCAGAACTAACTGGTGAGAAGAGAAAAGTCAAATTGAGCATATTGAACACATTTTAAAATATATGACAAGTTTAAACTATCATTATTTCACCTATATATTTTGTCTGGTTAAATGAATATATATTCAGATATACATATATTTCAAATTTCAAAATATCATTATTTTGATAAAACTTTCATCAATTTCTTAATTATATCAAAACTCAATGACAGATACCAGTGTACTTTTTCCAAAAATATATGTATGAAAACTTACATTTATGCCGCATGTCTACTTACTGCAAAACATCATACAATCGGAAAACGGGAATTGTCCGCAGAGACCTCAAAAAACTATGTATGTCCAGTCACAACTACATAAGCCCCCATCGAGGAGGGGAGGCGGGAATTACCTGCAGATGGGACTGGAACTGGGGATCTGGAACTGGTACTCAGCGGCATATTCAATCATGTCAAGTGTAATAATTTTGCGAATAGCAGATACACGCAGAAACCGAGCCCGCAGCCTTGGGGAGTTGGGGATTTGGCGGCCTGGAGAACTGGAGAACCAGAGAGATGGAGAACTGGGGATCTGGAGACGGGGCTTAGACCGCATCGCATGTGTGAGTGCGGATTTTTGATTTATTGTCGCCATGATGCTCTGATGTACGGTTCTTTCACGCACTGGCAACATAATGTGGCATTATAATGTCGCATGTTCTGGCCGTGTGAGCCGGTGTTTGGCTTTGCGTCCGTGTGATTTGTTATGAATTTATTATGTGACGGAAGTGGCTTTGGCATGGCTTTGCCAACTCGGTCTGAACTGGTCAAACAGGCCAAAATGTTTGCATGCCGGTGACGACGCCGATGGGCGCAGCTGCTAATTGGCGACGCGTCGCTCACCTTTCCTAACCAAGAAACCGCTCTTGGCAAAAGAACGAAGTAACTTTTGATATTTTTGGCAATTTATCACGATGCTTGGTTTGACCTGGAAGAGGGTACCCTAATTTTTGCATCAGAATTTTCTCTATTAACAAGGATATATGATAAAACCTTTTTTGAAAACCTAATACTGTTTCAGTTGATTTAAAAATTCCATAGCGCTACAACCAAGAGCTGAAAATATTCTAATAAAATGGTCTGAGTTGGCAAGGAGTTTTCTTAGCATATATGACAATTTAAAACACAATTATTTCTTTCATATGTAATTTCAAGGCATTTTTAGAAGATTTTTTCCAATAACTGGACGGTCCTACTTTATCCTAAGAATCATGATTGTATTCTGTACAAAAAGTGCACATCCAAAATAAATATATTCATAATATAATATATACATAATATATATATACATAATATCAAATCCTAAAGAGTATTTTCAGTTTCGGTCTTCAAGTCACAACCCTTTCTTTCTTTTCCTTTTTATTTATTCTTCTTTGAAAAAACATATCCAAAACACTCACAACAAAGACGGACAGACAACGAGGCTTCCTTGATAAGTTCAGCCCAGAAAAGGGAATGAAACGAATGCATAAATGAAAAGATAAGGGAATTGCCAAAAATAATGAACGGAAATAAAATTTGGTGTTGCGGTGCTACAACTCATTAAAAATTATACCGCGATATGAGGCGATATGATACGTTATGATTTGCGACTGTGGAACCGCGAGACTTTCTTTATTTCTTTCGCCCCAAATGGAATACAACTTACCTGGTGGTTAACGTTAACGCCAGTTGTCAGGGGTCTCTGACATGGGTGCAACACCCAGGCGTGGAAGGGGGTTCGTGGCCAACACATTTTCACCTACAATAAGCCTGGGTGACACACAGAAAAATATAAAGTAAATGTTAATATTTGTACTTTAAGCCAAATAAAATATATAAATATTAGTGTTGCCATTAAATTAAGTATATGAACTAGCTTTAAATTTTAAAACTAGCAAGTTAATGTGTAAATAAAATAAAGTACAAGGATAGCTTTTTAAAAAATGAATGCATTTAATTAAAAAGAAAACTTTTTCTCGGGGTGCACGTTACCCATGTCAGAGTGTTTGGCCCCAGGCAATTGCTAATATGTGCCCCGATTCCGGGGATTGCACCTGTGGGGGATAGGGATACCAGTGCCTGTCACCTGGACCGACCTGTCGACCGACCACGGGTCCAGCATTCAATTTCGGATTTCATTCCAGCTCGAACTCATATGCGGGCAGCAATTTCTCCGCCTTGCTGCCTGTCCTTCTTATCAGCTTTCTTCATTTATGCTGCATTGCCTTTCGGGAACAAAAAAAACTGGGGATACCCAGAACCCAGAACCCATCCCGATTTTGAGGTCCGGCATTTGTAATACGGTGGCATATAACACTTAAGTGCCTGTTGTTGTTTTATAAGATAAACTCTTGCGGGGCCCACATACGGCCACTTTGGTGGAGAAACGGCGGATAAGGCGATGCCAATTTCATTTACTGGCACTTTCATTAACCAACGCGAACAGCCCATACCCCATTCCAAATAAATGAAAAAAAGGAACTGCATCAAAGTCGAATAAAATAAACGAATTGGCGTGTTTTAAAGTTCTCGCTGAAAGTTGCGGGTTGGCCACAAATGTTTGCTCTTTCCGCAATGGAGGGAGGGAATTCTGGGAAATGTACTCAAATTAAATGGGTTTGTATTTCAGATTCAGCGATTGCTATCAATCAGTTATATTCAGGGAAAGCTCAGGAGTGTAGGTACTCAACAGAAATCGTTGGAAGCAGTGGGAACTGAGCTAAAAATTGCATTGACAGGAACTTTGATTTCAAGAATTGGTCTTTTCCTTATTTTTATTACCAACTCCATTTAAAAAAATATTTTTTACACCGTTTATACACGCTTTGTAATATAATGAAATCAGTGGCGGATCAAGAATTTTGTTGTGAGGGGTATAAAAAAATTTGGAAAAAAATGCATACTACATATACATTTAAACCCGAGTGGGGGGATCTATCCCCAAAACCTCCCGTGGACCCGCGCATGAATGAGGTACATACCTATGATATAATATAAAAGCTAAATTTAATAATATTAATAGTCCACAGAGAGAATTCTGACGTTCTCATCTGAGTTGAAAATGTGCTTTAAAATAGAATGGCATTTTTAAAGTTGAACAAATTTTCAATGTCCTTGAATCATTGGCTATATTCACATTGCTTATCTCACCAAGTAAACTATTAGTCCAGTAACTAGTCTATTCTTATTAAAATGTTGTTAGATAAACTCAATTGAACTTTTTTCTTCTCACCATTTTGTTCTGATATTAAGAACATTGTACAAAATGAACTTACACGGTTTTTAAGAACAAATGTTCTTAATTCAAGAACAATGTACATGAATATTTCTCTTTGTGTTATAATGCTAATTGGTTCCTTTTAATTTATGTAGATAGATAATAAAAGTATCGTTGCTTACCTTTTCTTAATATAAAAGTAATTTAACAAGAAGCAAAGAGTCATTTATAATTTTTACGGTTCAGCTGGCTTCAAAGATATGAAAGTAGCACAAAGTCAACCAGCAAATATCAGGAACCCTAATACTTTGTCAAAACCAAAATATTCTTCCTAAAAGCAGGTAAAACGATCAATTGCAATTGCCTTTTACTTGACTTCTTTGAGCAATATACAACCTTATAAATCTGAGGACCGAGCACTTGAAAACTTTCCTTCCATTATGAGCATGCAACTAATCTTTATTGCATGTTGTGGCATACTTTCAGGCGGTGTCATAAATAGTCCCAAACTTAAAACCAATGTGTGGAAATGTGAATTATTATTGCATTGCCATTACTGATTTATGCGAAAAGTGTGTGGTGGCAAGGTATGTAGGAAAATGAGAGGATGGCAGTGGTGGTCAAATGCAGTCCCAGACTCTGAACTGCACTGTGTGTGGCTTATTCAAATTCAAATTAGATTATATGCAAACACCGGCCACTCTTTCACTTGCCGTTCTTTATTATTATATAGGAATGCCGGCCGAAAAGAGCAAAAACAGCAAACGACGCGGACCGACGGTCTACTAATATTTGCATAATCGCAGGCAACTCAAACCAAACCGAAACGAGCTGAGCTGAGCTGGCCAACATGCGGCAAAGCAATTATTTCTTTAAAAATAAATTGCATGCACAATTGGTAGCAATAGCAATTGCAGCGGCAGTTGGAACAACAAAATACCCACGGAGGATGAGGACCACCAGAGAATGGATCCAACGAATCGCAGTCGGAATCTGGCCGAATGCAGGTCCCGTCGACGACGACGACGACGACGAATTTGGTCAAAACTTCTTTTTTGTGGCCAAGAAGAAGAAGGAGGAGGATGAGGAGGAGGAGTAGGGGGAGGGGGCGTGGCAGCTCAGCTCGTTTTTTGCGATTTGTGTGTACCCCCCATTCGTTTATTTGCATATCGATTTGGAGTTTTTAGTCCAAACAGAACCTACTGGTCTTTCCTACATCACTCCGGCCAAGAGTTTCCCCTAAAAATACTTGGCATGATTTTATTTGCCCACAAACAATTGCATAATTGAACAGCTTCCCCAGTCTTTTGGCCAAGCATTTAGCCCCGGGCCTCGGTCTCATAAATAGACGCCCTGGAACTCAAGTGCAAATTCAATTTTTATAGCACACTTATTTAATCTCCGGAACAATCTCTCGATGGGTGACATAATGCCAGGCGATCTGCTCGATAAGCACGTGCCTT